TTATTTATTTAAATGTTAAATAAATAAAGTTAACAAAGTTAGTTTTAAGTTAATTTAAAGGACATGCGTTAACATATTAGGAATGAGACACAAACGAGACATATTTTGGGGAGAGCAAATCTGGAGCCTTTCCAAACCGGTACTCAATTGTCCATCAAACACGTAAAGCCCATGAAAAAAATTTGGGCAAATTACAAATCCGATAAAAGAGAATAAACGACATCTGGAAGGGGTTTTAGCTTTCTTCCCCAGAAAACCGATCAGGGTTTAGCATTCTCTCCGCTCCTCCACGATCCATGGCGTCCATCATTTCCAGAACCGTAAACCATCTTCGCCACGTCAACCGCTCAGTGATCCGATCCGGATTGCCGATTCCACGGCCACCGCTCGCCGACTGTCTCCAAAATCGGCTTCCACTCCTCGGACAGGTTCGTCTCCTTCAACTCTCTTCTGCTAATACTCCGTTTGATTCTAGAGAAAAAGCAAGTAAAGATTCAAGATTTGGCGTTATTTATTTCCCTTTTGTTTCTCTGCCTCCAATCAGCTCGAGCTTATTTCATTTTCTGTATTTCGTTTTTTATTTTTTTTGTATTCGATTGGACCGCAGTCGTTGACGATTTATCAAAGATGTCTTTTTTCGACGACACCCAATACTACGTCGGAAAAGCAAGGAAGCCCAGATCCCAAAACCTCAGAAAATGCAAATTCTGGTAATTCCGGTAAATCTGGTGATTCTGGTGAAGGGAGCAAATCTGGGGAATCAAGTGAAAGTAGTAATGCTGGAAAATCTATTCGCGGAGGGGTAATCTTTACAATGGCCATATAACGATTTTTCTTAGTTATTTGAATGTGAAAATGTGATTGACATTTCGATTGATTTTGTTGGTGATTTTGCAGCCTGTTTCGTGGTTGAGTTTTCTGCTGCTGGTGGCGACTGGAGCCGGAATTGTACTCTATTACGATAAGGAAAAGAGACAACATATTGAAGGTAGACTACTATGGTGAGTTGGATTGTATGTGAGTTTTGCATGTGGGACTTGAATTCATGAGTCTGCAACTTTGTCAACGCTGCTCTTTAATCTTGCCCGTGTTGTATTTGATGCGTAACGAACACCTGTCATCAAGTTTTTATGCTATGCCAAATGGATTTTCCTGTCCAAAATAAGCTTTGTAGTTGTGTCATCAATCTACTGCCAATGCTGATATGAGGTTAGAGTAGCCTTTTGTTCTGTTCTCTCTAAGAATGCTTTCAGCTTTGACTCAGAAGACGATGGTTGTGTACTTAAAAGCTTAAATACTTAGTTTATGCACTTCAAGCCTTCGATAAGTATAACACTTTCCCGCCAGCTTGGTCAGTTCACTTGTAGATTAAGCTGCTTAATGTTGATTTAAGTCAGTGATAAATACTCATACATCTATATTAGGCACACAATACATGACTAAGCACACCCATGTCACCTATTAAATATGCCTTTTTGATTGAGTACTTCACTTTGTATTCTTGTTCATTTCGAATATTTATATCCGGTTAAATTCAGGGTAGAGCAAAATGTAATTAATGTTGTATCAACTCATTGCTTCTCTTGTTTTCTCTTAAGGCATCGAAGCTCAGTGCTTGTTTTTTCTCTTCTTTACTTCCTTTAAAATGACATTTGTTCTATTAATTGACTCTTTTTTTTTCTGCAGAAATATTTAAAGCGTCAAAGGAAGTAAAGCAGGGACCATCTGTGGGAAAAGCTGCCATTGGGGGTCCATTCAATCTTATCAACCATGATGGGAAGCGAGTAACTGAAAAAGATTTTTTGGGGAAATGGACATTGATGTACTTTGGTTTCACTCACTGCCCTGATATCTGCCCAGATGAGTTAGTAAAGCTAGCTGCTGCAGTTGATAAATTACGTAAGTCTTGCGTTTTTACGAGGGTCTACCCTTTTTTTTTTCTTCTCGCAGATAGTGCAAATCATAAAATCTCAATAGGCTTGATCTCTAGCTTTTATTCTCTGTATTCTCAAGCATGTGATGCCTGAAATTTTTTATGGTCTGTTGCGTGAGTTCAGAGAAAGATGCAGGGATTGAGATAGTACCCCTGTTCATATCCGTTGATCCTGAAAGAGATACCGTTGAGCAAGTCCGTGAATATGTGAAAGGTACATCTCAAGATTTTAGTGTGCACCATAGAGCTAGTAAGAATGACCATACATCACATAATGTAAGTTCTTAACCTGATGTTTTCTCAACTATCTCAGAGTTTCATCCAAAGCTGATGGGCTTAACCGGTAAACCGGATGAGATACGGAGTGTTGCTCGTGCATATCGTGTGTACTATATGAAGACAACAGAAGAAGATTCAGATTATCTTGTGGATCATTCCATAGTCATGTATGTATCAACGTTTTCTCGAGTGGAAGTTGAAAAATTAGTTGTTTGTGTCATTCCGATATTGAAATCAATGATTATTTTGTGCAGGTACTTGATGAGCCCCGAGATGGAATTCGTGAAATTTTTCGGGAAGAACAATGATGTCGATTCACTTGCTGAAGGTATAACAAAAGAGATAAGGCAGTACAAAAAATAGCGAATTGGTTTTCCTTTCATTGCAAGTGAATAACATTTGCATGGTTGCTTTTCAAAGTTACCTTATGAGGCGAAAGCTCGTTCCTCGTTTTCCTTTTTTGATAGTTGCCGTTATTTAAGTTGAGAGAATGTAACGAGGCGATTATATTTGAAAAACTGATTTCATTTTTCAATCCAAGACATTTCATGGAGTGACAATTTTCATTAAAGTTATCCGAATTTCAGATTTTACTTAGTATTACAGTTTAGTGGTATTCCTTCACTTTTAAAAGACAGGTTTTAGGTTCGATTCTTGCCAAAGACGAATTTGAACCACATTATTGCTAGCCTATTGTGAGGCTAAACTCGCTTTCACTATAACATGAGTATGAAAATTCACTTTTTAACACTCTCATGTGTTTAGTAACATGTATGGAATTAGAAAGTGCAATTTTCCCGTTGAAATTTGTAATCAAATACTTAACAATGAATAAAATACTTAATAACGAATCAATCATGAAGCCATTCAGGCCGGATTGTTCATGGTGCTGAATGATGCCCCCATGAGTCATGTTCCTATTCCATCACCAGTCAATGAAATCCGACCATGACACGATGAGTGCTGAAGAACAATGAAGCATATCGACAGCTTGCGCTCTATAAGCCTTTGTACGGTGACATCTTACATGGTTTTACATAAAACTAACTGCGACAGTAGAGTATTTAGGTGACATTGAAGCTAATTATTAAACTAACCCTAATTAACTTGGGTACAAAAACCACTTCTTATTTAACTAAGGCTATTATAGTCGGGTTTTCTCGCTGTTTGTAATTTTTGATTGAGCATATACATGTCCACCTCATTTCTCGACCCAGTTTGCCTTGTGATTGCGCGTCTTCTCCGGTGCCTGTCATCTCAGTTTCCATGATTATCATACTTTCACACAGGTACGGGGGCATAGATGCAACTTCCTCACCTGAAAAAATGTGTTTCTGTAAGATTTCCTACCAAAATACCTATTATTTGAACAAGAATCGCTATCCAGTCCTACCTCCGGTATCAGATTACTCTTCAAGAAGGGGTTAAAGCTGCACATGCCTTTGGGATTCACCTGTCGACTTCTTTTGGGATAATGGCCTTGCCGAGATAGACCTGTTGCATCTCGTCTCTCCAGATCTGCAAGCACAGTGATTGGTACGTCTCTTAGTTCTTTCAGTCTTCCCCAAGGCTTGTTTGTGTGGGCGTGTGTGTGTGTGTGAAAGAGAGAGAGAGAGAGAGAGATGAAGCATAGAACAAGCATGACTGGAAGAAATCTCAGAAAGTTCCACACCGTATCACGAAATTCCAACCGGATATGAGGCACATTTGTTCTGTGGATATCATTTCCATCTGGTCCTCTCTTGTAGTACTCTCTGCCGATCCAGTGCGACTGCACCACAAAATTTGATGACTTATGTTCATGTTCAACAGTAGAGAACTAATCGGACATATCATATGCCATTACAGAGAAATCATAGAAATAAAAACTTATCACAAACCAAGTGCAGATTGGGGAAACTAATATAAATGTGGTTCATACACTAAAGAAATCAATTGCACACTCAATTCTAGTATATCTAGTTAGATGTGGGAACTATAGATTATGTAAATTCAGTAGCGCAGTAACTTACCTTCAATGCATGTGAAAATCCTGATTGGTAGACCGAATTACGGGCAATTTCACATAGATCACATGAGCTCAATTTCCAAACCTGTGTAAAGGAAGAACTTATAAATAAATGGGTCTTTATAACCTTTAGAGAGAGAGAGAGAGAGAGAGAGAGCTTACAGAAGCAGCTATACTATATTCTTCCACCAAAGGCTCTTTTGTTAAGTGGATTTGGAGAGGATCATCGGTGGAGAGAGAAACATTAAGACCCCGTAAGAAAAACATAGGAAAAGGATTCCGATGGTAGTCCAAAAACAACGAATTGTTGCTCAGGGGTGACATAGCCAGACCAATCTGATGAGACAAACAACACATGGCAGCCAATAAAAAATCGCAAAAGATAAAGACGTTTATATAAAATAAGGAATTCTTCCTTACCTGGGATAAATAATACAGATATTGAAGTACAGGAGATTTTCTCAAATTGATTCCATGCGCAATATTAGTTGCGGTAAGAAAGGTTGCAGCAAGGTGGTCAATGTCACCAGCCTGAAAAATATTGAATAAATGACTTCGCATTATGTAATACTTGTGATCAAATAGAAAATATATCTTTTATTAAATACCTCCCCAGAATGTGGACGGAGATTGATTGTCGTCATGCCCTTAGATTCACGAAGCTGAAAACCAAAATCCAACAGTTCAGCACTTAATGCCAATTTATGACAAACTTATATGAAGTGTCATCACAATTACAAAGACTGAAAACGAGATAAGCAACCACTAAACATCGTAAAGAAACCTAATAACAACCAAAGTTCGTGGAATCTAAGCCCTGGTGTTGCAACCAAAGCAAACGAGACTGACAACATTGGAAAAAGAAAAGCAAAGAAGGATTTCCAATAAGCTATATGCTGCTCTAGTCACAAAGCTGTTCAAACTTGTATGGGGAATATAATTTAGGTAATAGAACACATAGTATGGCATAAAAATCTCTGGACTGCAGAATATGTACCTTGTTTAATGTGTAGAGATTAGCATAACAGTAGTACACGTAGTATGAAAATGCAGGATTGAATACATTGGTCCATTGTGCTGGCGTTGGCATGTGTTTTGTGGGGCGTCTTTCAGGTTTGCTTTCGTCATCCACCAAATCTAACCCCACAACCTGTAAGATCAAACATGTTTAACTCAAGCATTTATTTTGGAAATATATAAATGCTTCAAAAACGTGAAACGCACACACGAGAAGAGAGAGAGAGAGAGAGAGAGAGAGAGAGAGAGAGAGAGATGTTTCAGGGGAAAAATTGTAGATTTTGACGAGATGGCAAACCTGTTTCAGGAAAACGTGCAACTGTGGATGGGAATCTGGATCTACAGTAACCTCAAACAGTGGAATAAAGATATTGTCGAGAATGTTCTGAAATGATGTTACAATTCCCATTTCCTTGTATATATTGGACAGCCGGGGCAGCTGGAAGAAGGAAAATACAAGAACCAAACGTATGAGTAGCATTCAAGACTTTTACCCGAAAAAAGTGCTTAAGTGGAACAGTACCATACAATCCCAAGATTCTTATAAATGTCACAGAGAACTGCAAATTTTGCGTTTTACCTGAATCAACCAAACAACATTCTCACTGTACAATTCATTGTTCACTATCCAACTAGCCATTTGGTCCCACTCACTCTGCTTCCTACCATATATCGATATCCTGTACTCAGCCATCTGCAGGAGAAAAATGGAACATCAGGCGAGGCTGATTATCAAAACATGCAGAAAGATAACCCAGACACACGATAAGGAGAGAGAAGGTTGAGGAAGTGGCCATTGGTTCCATATCAATGACATTGAACATTCAGACATGGCAAGGGAAAGATAACACAGAAACCTAAATCTTATCCACATATGCCTATGGTTAAATGAATTTAGATATAACTCATTGGGGAATCAAGAAATCACACAATTAAAAACGCCACTACAATGTGGAGTATTAATCTCATCTTAACAAGCATACTTGCAAAAGAAACAATTACAAAGAGAAGATAGAAACTAGAACAAGCATAAAAACCTATCTGCAACCTGGAGCAAGGAAGCACCTGATATTTACTGGCAGCAAGATCAGAAAACACTTGTTTTGTCAGCTCAGCAAGGAAACGTCCTATTCAAGAAGAGAGTATCAAATCCAACAATCTATACACTGATCAACAACAACAACAAAGCCTTTTCCCACTAAGTGGGGTCGGCTAATCTATACACTGATCAACGACTAAAAAACTAAGCTTCATCAAAACTGATTTGAAGTGGATAGAAACAATTACTCAAGCCCATGGCTTAAGAATCTAATTATTCACTATAACCCAGTAACCTTATAATAGTTGAGAAAACAAAAAACTATACCTTGAATAAGATTATCCTGCTTAAGGAAAATCTCCCGGAGCCTACTTTGACCACAGGGGTTGTACTTAAGATTAAACTTATCAAAACGATGAAACGTGCTCTTGTCAGCATGAACATCCAAAAGGTCAACATTTAGGTCGTACCTGTGGAAACAAATGTGAAAAGATATAACATCCTGTAGCTTAAAATATACATTAGAGATACATGAACAAGGATTGATAGTAGGACTCGAAATGCATCTTTTTATTAATTAAAATAGGCAAAAGAATACCCAGTCAAATCCAAACTCTCAAAAACCTCTTTCAAGGTCAAATAGGTTCCATCTCTAAATATTACAACCTGACAAGAAGCACAGAACTTGAGGTATTAGTGAAAATCATGCAATAACCATAACCAACATTATAATAAATCTCATTGAAACCAACAGTTGAGTGACCATATGCATAGCACCTTACAAACTTGATAGTTTGGAATGATTATCCACAGTTGACAGAAATAAATGGAAGAAAAAAAAAGAAAATCACTCGACAACATATCTACATAACAATTTCAAATTACCTCATCAGGCTCCTTCCTCAACTTTGATTTTATAAACCTCAAAAGATGTTTCTGGTTCATGCATGCTGAGTGATGAACATGTGTATCTACTTTTCTGACATTATAAAAGTCACGATGAGGAGCACTCTTCTGAGCCAGAAACTCCCTATCCGCATTAAGCATTAAGTGAAGATTGAATTTCTGAATGACAGACAAATACGAACATTGTCAAACAACTATTACTACTCCAGCATAGAAAGATCATTGGAAGGAATCTTAATGACTAATATTAATTATCAACACAAGTCTGTTTACTTGTTCCAGAAGATTCAGCCGATGATGGCATAAAGTTCTGATATTCCCTGCTGCTGTAACTCGGAGTATGTGATGTAGGTCAGTGAAAAAGGTGGTTGCATCAGCAACAGGAAAAAGTTCTTTTGCTGCAAAAGAGGAGGGAGGGTAAATGTGCATCAAGATCTCTACATAGGAAATTCATCATGAATAAAAATCCCTCAGATCTGACAAACAAAAAAAGAATACACAAAAACAGCCACTTACAGTCTTTATTTGGATACACATGAACAACCCCATCTTGCATTTCGAAATAATGCTGCCGAATAAAGGAGAAGGTTAATTGCACAAC